CTGCGATGCCGATTATGCCAGTGACGAAGATGACAGAAAATCATATTCTGGCTATTGTTTTAAGATAGGAGATAACCTCGTGAGCTGGTCAAGCTGTAAACAAACTACTGTTAGCCTTTCAACGTGCGAAGCAGAATATGTATCAATTACCAACGCTAGTAAGGAGGCAATCTGGATTAACTCGCTATTAAGAGAATTGCTATCAAGCGAACTTAAAACAAAAACGGTTTGTATATTTTCTGATAATCAAGCAGCAATATGTTTGGCGAATGGGGAAGGCTCGCACAAAAGGGCAAAGCATATTGACGTAAAATTACATTTTATAAAAGACCTCATCAGTGAAGATAAAATAAAACTGAAACACATTTCGAGTGAAAATATTCCCGCAGATGTATTGACAAAGGCACTTGGTCCTATTAAACACAAGAAATGTTGTAAATTATTGGGTCTTAATATTCGATAATATTAAATATGTTAACTGTTGTTATTGAAAAACCTGTGACCACGCAACAGCCAAGCGGAGGATTGTTAGGAATGTGGCTGTTACGTGTGAAAATGTTTATTTCCTGGTCCTCTGACAGGTATAGTGTGACATACGAGGGCACTGTTTGTTTGTTCTAGTTGACAATGACCCTGTAAGTTATTACAACTTATGTAACGTGTGTCCCTTATGTAACACGTGTGTCCCTTATGTAACATGTGTGTCCCCCTGTAACTGTTGTGCGTCTGTAGTCTTCGTGGGGTAAAGACGTGTAGAAGTTTCGTCCGTCTCCTGTATACATCCTTGCTGGCTCAATATATCCGACTTAACGAACAAATATTACTAACATTAATATACTTTTCAAGAAAATTATAATTAAATATAGCTTTGTGTGCTAACCGAGGGGCTGAGGCAGAGAGCTTCTCCCCACTTACCGGCTTGGCTGTCAGGAAATGGCTATAGGAGGGCAAAAGGAGTGGGAGGCGTAATGAAGTCGTGATGAGATGTCGGTAGTGCTTAACAAGAGACATTAAATTAGGAATAACATATTTAATATAAACTTAAATAATAATACAAATACATTAAAATTTCACATTAATTCTAAACAATATGTAAGCGATAATTATAAACAATTCCGAGTCGTGACAATATCGGACAACCGAAGTCCGTTTATCCTGTAAGCGGGACCACCAAAGGTCCTCGACACAAAATAATTCTAAGTCCTATCCAAAGGAACAGATAAATAAATTCAAAGTTTCGAGTATATCGGTAAACGACCAATTTCTAAGTCCTGAGTAAGTCGAGAGACAATAATTTCTAAGTCCCGAGTATACCGAGAGAGAGTGAAGTAAAAAACAATCTAAGTATTTACCTCTTTAGGTCGGCGATCAGAAACCTTGAAGTCCTTCCAGAGTAGACGCTTGTAGTCTTCTTCCTTCGATGATAGCCTCGAGACCTCCGATCATTCCCCTTTTATACTTTTTTAGCGTGGGAAATCTCGGGGACGCCTCTGACGCAATCTATCACTTCTCCCGATTTATGACAGTCTCCCCCGTCATGGGTGACGACAATGCAGACATCGCTTGACCAATTAATGTTAAATTCGTCATCACCTGGGGAGATGACTGACCATTTTTGGTAATGTTCTCACCGTACGGGTGACCCTTGTAGGTGACCTCTTGTCTACTCTCAATACAGGAACACCCGTCCGTCTCCGTCAACCGAACACCCGCAGGAGACTACTCTTTTACAAGGTGTCTGCTGTGTGACCAATTAGTAAAAACAAACAAACGCCCCGGGGAGAGGGGAGTTCTTCCACGGTCGCCTCGGACGACTTCGTCCTAGGGATGACCTTCTTGACGGACGAATTACGCAGTTCATTATTCGGAGTCTATTCCTTGGACAACGGGGTGAGAACGGGAGAAATAACGGAAATAATGACGAAAGAAATATAAAAATTCTCATACGATAGTCAGATTTTCACATTTGTAAAGAAACGTACATAAAAACAACATAAAATATTCTTTACTCTTTAAATCTTAACCACTTAGTCAAATAGCTTTCTACGAGTGGAATCAGAGACGGTCCTGCTAGGTGCGCGGTGCGTACTACATTCACGCAGGCTGCCAAATCCCCAGGGTGCCCATACCGGTCAATTTCAAATGTCTCTTTTGTCGCATCACTAATATACCTCAAAAGACGAGACAGTGTTCTTGTAAATTTTAAACGTTTCTCACCATAGCTGTAAAAGTCTAAATATGTTAAACTTAATCGATTGTCCGTCGTTTGTTTTCTAACTAATTCGTTTTAGGACCGGGTGTTATCCACGGAAATTTCCAAAATTTATAACTTTTCGGTTACTCTCGTCGAACTGGAAAAATGTCTGTCTTTATTACATCTAATATTTCGAAAACATCAGTTCCACTGTACTCGGCTAGAGATTGGTTCGGTAAAAAATACAGGAGTTATTAGACTTCAAACAGGATGAACAAAAAATCGTGCTCCATACACACACACACACTAACATCCGTACATACAGAAAACCCCAATTTTTTTACATTTCTCGACGTCTCAAGATTCCCCGAGTCCAATAATATGTTCGGGATTATTTTTTGACCGATACTTGATAGTAAAAATAAAACGAGCAATTATTTATCGAGTAATTTATAATCGTATTTTAAATATATTNAATATGCAAAGCTTTTTTTCAGTTTACAGCAGTATTTATTACACAAAATTTAAGTAAAGCTTAACATGCCGATCTTGCCCCGGTCTCCCCTAAAACACACTGACACACTTATTTAATTTTTGTATTTTGGTTGCTATGCCTTGACTCTAGTCTGTCATAGTACACAGCAATCGGTGTCAACCGATTATAACTTACTAAATCAACATAATAATAATAATAATAATATCTATATACTAGTAGATGAGCCCGGCGTTGTTCCGGCAAAAAGTAACGACAAAAAGACGGGTAGATTAAGATTATATCCAATCTTGCTCGTTTTCACCGAGTGCTAGCATTAAGTTCATCCTCTTCTCAGACTAATTACAAAATTTTTAGATGATTCTGTGAGAATACGACGGGCATATAGTCCTCTTATCGTCAGATCGGTAGGATCCCCTCACTTTCTCAGTAGATGGTTAAAAATAAGAGAGCTATTATTGAGCGGGAAAAGTCGCGGATCAGTTCGATCAAAATATGTTATAAATGAAATAAGTTGTCACTAGCATTTTCAAAACAAAATATTTAATATATAGACAAAAAAAATACAGGGAAGAATAAATATATCTTAACAATAGGGAATGAGATATACCCACACCTTAATTCTTATCGTGAGAGAGAGAGAGAGAGTTTACAATAATCTATAAAGAATACCTCTGGGTANAATACAGGGAAGAATAAATATATCTTAACAATAGGGAATGAGATATACCCACACCTTAATTCTTATCGTGAGAGAGAGAGAGAGAGTTTACAATAATCTATAAAGAATACCTCTGGTTATTGTCAGTGGAGGAGGACCTCTGAATGGCAAATCTCTTCTTCTGTAGACTGTTCCAAATAAGGGGAATCTACCCTTTTTATAAAAAAATTCCTTCAATCATGGCCTTTAATTCATATTACCTGATGGGATAATCAAATGTATAATTTGGCCAGATGACGTGAGAAAATCAAGAGAAGATACAGTTTAAAGGAAGCTTATCTTCCTTTTTACATTCAATTTTACTTTTTACTTTAAACCATAATAAAATAAAATAATAATAATAATAATAATAATATAAATGATGGAAATACATGTTAAATTTGCTAGTTTAGTTTTTTACTCGTAAATAATAATATAATCCAGAACAACATAATTGTATATTATTCAAAAATGTGTAATTTCCAATTCCGAATCTTCTTTCAGAGAAGCCATAAATGCTTCTGGATCATCGGAATAACATTTAAATTTTTCTTCCGATTTCTCTAGAAACTTCTTAACTTTTTCGTCTTCAAAATCTTCACCAACGTAAGTAAATTTGCCTTGATTGAAGTGCTTATTTCTTTCCTCTTCGTACAATCTCAAATATTCTTCGTTTTTGCGAAAGAATTCTTCGTTGGCTCTAATCATATTCTTGAATTTACTCGGATCAGAAGGCAAATTACCTCCCAATTCCAAAGGCAAAAAATCCGGATGAATGAATTCATGCAAAGTAGACATGTCGGAATGTAAGTGAACCTGCGAGATGAAAACATCTTATATGAAATTAGTGAAATAATATATAAAGTAAATAATTTGCTGTATAAAGATTTAAAATATGTGAATTAGAAAATATTCGTAACCAAAGAATTAATTTCTAAAATATAATTATATTTGTTACTATTAGATACTCTACAGTAGACCACCCCATATAAAAACGAGTTCATGTAATACGGATTCGTATATAACGGCGAAAAAATTGTGATCGTATTCGTATAAACACAATAAAAGAAACACGTATAATACGGTAAAACGCCATCGCCGACTCGTGTCGCGACAGGATTGGTCGAATCTAGTCCAATAACAAACATTGCACAAACCGTTGAGTTTAAAGGAGCAGCCGACCTACTAAAAACCATTTATTATTTAACGCCCATTAAAATTATATTTATATTAATGATGTCTCCAAAATTAAGCTAATTTTTCGCAGAAAAATAATTTATCAGAAAACACGCGCCCTCCGTTCGATGCGCCGCTCCACCACTAAAACAAGCTTAAGCAATGGCGTCGTCGAACGGTGCACACTCGGTAAGTAATCCTACAATTTTTTGTTTATAGCATAGTTTATTCGGTTTATTCCCCCCCAAAAATTATACGTGTTTTGAAAATTTTGAGTCAAATTAGAATAAATTAATTTTAAGGTAGAAAACCTTTCAAACAACCGTAGTCTCTGAACTGTATACGTGCCGGGCTGTGATTGGCTTATGTATTTAAGTGTTCGTAAAACACGAATTCATATAAAACGGGACGTATTTAAAATATTATAGGGGGTCTACTGTACTCGTTTATTTTTCAGACTTGTAAACAAAGTAGATGTCATTGAGAATCCAACCCATAACAACAAATAGTAGTAGAAGAATTGGACACTTGGAACCAAAAATATTTATTCGAATTCTCAATATACTCTTCCAAATCGTCACATATTAGAATGAAACTGCAAACTGTACTCTCAATAATTTGTAAACATTACTATTAGGGCAGACTATAACAATTCTGGATATCAGTTAAACACAACATGAATTTCTGCTATTAAATATTTTTACAAATATTATGTTGAGTCATAATCGATATTACTGCACAAAAATCTGCGCCGTGTTTTTGTGTAGCTGAAAACTCGTCATTTTTCAAAGATTTAATACCATTTGCAAGTGTTTACGACAAGATATTCTGAGATATATGAATATTAATTGGGTTTTTTTTTTTGCTATTTATTTACAATATTTCATAATTTAGATAGGATAACGTCTCTTTTTAATTCAATTATAATGCAACACGTCGATTTTGGATAAACACAGATACCCTACCAGAATTAAGTTTCCAAATCCAAGTTTTTTTTACAGAAAAAAAATTGTTTTAAATGTTTGAAAATTGTTAAAAAATATAGCTCTCCCTTAATAGTCCGACAGGTATGGAGGTAGGTTGATAATGGTCTGACTATCAGTATTAGTAATTACAAAATGAATACTAGCTGACAAATTATCATTGATTACACCATTGACTAACACCACTCCCAAAACTGGTATATCATTTCCTGAGAATGACGTAAGCCTTACAGCCGTAGGTTGTATTTTTCTAGCAATTTTTAAACTTTTATAATTTCTTATTGACATTACATTAGCCTGAGCACCCGTATCCAAATTACATTCTAACACTTTGTTATTAATCTTAAGTTTTAGGATCCACGGCTCACTTAACCAATTGTTATTACTATTAATAGATCTAATGACAAAGAGATCCGACTTATTACTATCATGGTCGCGATCATCACTAACATTAACATATTTTACTTGTCTAGTACGACAACATTTCGCATAATGACCTACTTTGTTACAAAGCTTGCAGACAGCATTAATAGCCGGACATTTATTTCGGTGTACTTGTCCACAACGCGTACATAATAATTGATTGTCCTGACCTGTTTGACGAAACCTTGAG